CGCCATCGCCGTCGCCGTCGCCGTCGCCGTCATCGTCGTCGCCGTCGTCGTCGTCGTCGTCGCCCCCCCCCAACTCATTCGGAGGGGGGCCCGTATACTCCTAGGACCCATCCCCAATCCCTCCTGGGGGGGGAGCCCGTGGGCCCTCGACCCGGGATCATATACACCGATCTTGGGCCCTGGCCAGGCTCGGCATCGGTGCCCTGGCCCTGCCTGGAGGGCACGACTCCAGCGAGCTGCGCTGCGCGCCCTGGCGTGGGCCCCTGGGACCAGCTGATAAGCAATAAGAGCACCCCTAACCCTTTTTGGAGGGGACCTCAGTTAGGAGAGCCGATCGCATTAAGGATACCCTAATGCGAAGACGGGAACGGCCACGTCTTCATCGTCGTATTCGGGTTGGGGGTTCTTTTCTACCGATGACCAGAAGGGGGACAACAAACGGCACGATCGTGATTTCTCGGAGGTCTGCGCGGATCTCTTGGATCGGCGCTGGAGGCGCCATTGGGGAGGGGGCAGCGACAGTCCAAGAAGTCCGCGCGGAGCGCAGACACATTACAGTTATGCCGTTTTGCTGTTCCCCGATGGGGCGCAGCGCGGGTAGCGGGCTCTGCCTGCGGGCAAGACCTGTGTCCATCTCCACTGCAACTGGGAGTGTCGGGCTCCCTTCCCCAGAAACCCGAGGCACACTGGATATGGATAAAAATCTGACCCCTAGAGCCCCAGAGACTCGATTTTGATCCATATCCAATGCGCCTCGGCCTTGCGGAACCCCCTCTAAGAAAATCAAAGACGCAATGGAGATGGATAGTAATATTGCCCGCCCTGCCGCGGCGGCGGCGCGGGCAGCGGCTCTTGATCAGCCGGACCGTCCGCATGACCTTGCCGCTGTCCAGGAACTCCTGCGATGGGCGCCGGAAGGCCGCGAGCGCGGGGCACCGCGGCGGCGGTGGAGGAGGCGGCGGCGGTGGCGGGCGAGGGGCACGGCGATGGTCCTCTTGCCATCCAGGCCTCGAAAGACATCAACGAACACTCATGCCACATTCATCTGTCAATGCCCCCCCCAGTGATCAATGTAGGCGATGGGTTGAATGAGTTGCACTGCGACCGCAATCTTCCCCTCGCCTGCAAACTTTGAATGTTGGGGAGGGAGTGTCCACTTATCGTTGCCCTCTGCCGTCGATCGGGCGTCCATTTTTCCCGTGCCTTTCGGCGGCGCGCCCGGGGCCTCCTCGGAAGGCGGCGGGGCTACTCAGAAGCCCCCCACCCCGGGCCTGCTGAGAAGTCTCGCTGAGAAGTCTCACGTGATTTCGGGGGAGGCTCAGAAAGCTTCTCAGAAAGACTGAGGCTTTCCGAGCCTTCTGAGAAGGCCTACCCCTTCGAATTCCCCTGGGCTCGCCGCCGACTCTGGCCATCGCTCCGACATCCACTCCCCATGCACTGCTTGGGTTCGCGCGCGTTTGTTCTTCTCTCAAGGTGATCCAAAACTCTTCACGATGGTCCAGATTTCGTGGCGCCGGCCTCGCCGAGAACAGTGCACACACGTCCGAGCGACGCCAAATCCTTCGGCCGAATCCGTGAGGCCGACCCTACGATTAGGTCGGGTATGTCCTCCTGCAGGCGGATTGTGGAAGAAAAACTTAAAAATAGCCAAACAAAAAAAAAACAAGTAATCAAACATAGTGCAACAATCGTCCCCAGATCATTTGCTTCTGCTATTTTTTAAGATTCCTCCTGTAGTGGGACATGCCCGACTTCAGCCTACGATATCACTCCTGCGGGCTGGCCTTCAAGACGGTCGCTCCGTGGTCGGGGATGGCCACGGCGGGAGCAGTAAGGAATCTGGCGCCAGGCCCGCGGTTGACAGGAGGGAGATGGGCGAGGTGATTTCATGCATGGGCGAATGGGGGGATGTTTCTCCCAAGCCTCCCTCCGGTTGGGTCCTCGTGTTGAATAGAGCACGGTGGTCTCCGTCCTATCCCCTCCTCCTCATCCTCTTCTTCCTTCCCCTGCCTCCTTGCCTCCCTTCCTCCTACCGTGCTTTTCCTTCTGGGGGACTGCGGACGGCGCAACTGTCGCCACGTTGGTGGGCTCCTGGGAGGCCCAGCGCAGTGGGGACATACGCAAACCCAATCCAGAACTCGCGGCTCCGTGGGGGTGCTGCCACCTGCGCAACTGTCGCCACTTTCGGGGGCTCCTGGGAGGCCCAGCGCAATGAGGGCACACGCACACCCAGACTAGACCTCGCGGGTCCGTCGGTACGTTGCCACCTGCATGTCTGTCGCCACTTCCGCAGGTTCTGGGAGGCCCGACGCAATGGGGACATACGCAAACCAAGAGTAAGCCTCGCGGCTCCATTGGTGTGCTGTCATGCGGCCACCTGCATTACCGTCGCCGCTTCCGTGGGCTCCTGGTAGGCCGAGCGCAGTGGAGACGTACGCACGCCCAGGACTAGACCTCGCGGCTCCGTGGGGCTGATGCCACCTGCGCAGCTGTCGCCGCTTTCGTGGGCTCCTGGAAGGCCCAGTAAAGTGGGGACAGACGCTCCCAGACTAGACCTCGCGGCTCCGTGGGGGAGCCGCGAACTGCGCAACTGTCGCCACTCCCGCGGGCCCCCAGGAGGCCCAGTGCAGTTGTGTCATGGGCATGGCACCACCGCGCAAGCATATTCTAGGGCACTGCGTCAGTCAAACGTGGCCCAAAGATCCTGGAATGCGTAAGCGCCCAATGTAGCTCTCATGGCGAATTGCGCTCCTTTTCATGCTACTCTCCGCATGCAACGGGCCCACCGGTCTGTCCACTCGGTGCAGATGGGTTGGTCACGTCCCGGGTAAATTCCGAACCCTTCGTTGGAGTCTTGGGTTCGGATAGAGCGTCGGAGTCGCGTCTCTGCCTCCCCCTCCTCCTCCAGCCGCCTCCGTCCTCCTCCTTCCTCTCAACCCCCTGTCACTGCGAAGCTGTCGCCGCGTTCCAGGGCTGCGGGGGGGCAGCGTCGTGGGCAGCCTCCGCAGGCCCAGAGTTGCTGCGCTGGAAGGGCCGCATGGTGGGTGGCCGGATTGGACTCTGCCATCCCTGCAGGCTTGCATTGCGAATTGATGGCCGCTCTGGAAGGCTGCGGGGGGTCCAGCGTAGTGGGTCGCCGCAGATCCAGGTTCGGCCTCGCCATTCTTGGAGCAACGCGAACGTGTCGTGTCGTCACGTTCGAGGGCTGCTGGAGGGCCTCCGCAGATCCAGGTTCGACCTCGCCATGTTTGGGGGGCCGTGAACTGCGAAACTGCTGTCGTCATGTTCGAGTCATTGGGGGCGAGGGCAGCGTAGTGAGCGGCCTGCGCAAATCTGGACTAGACCTCGCCATCCCTGGGGGAGGGGATGGCCTGCGAATTGCGAAACCGTCTCCACTTTCGAGGGCTGCTGTGGGGGACAGCTCGAGCGCTGTTACAGATTAGACCTCGCCATCCCTGGGGGCTGCGAACTGCGAAACTGCCGCCACATTCGAGGGCTGCGGGGGGGCCAGCGAAATGGGTACCGAGCGCAGGTTCAGATTATACCTCACCATCCCTGGGGAGCACTTTAGAGGGCTCTTGCGGCGTCCAGCGGAGTGATGTCTGAATTCCTGTAGATCAGATGGAGGCCTCGCGGTCACTAGGAGCTGCGAAACTGTCGCCACTGTCGCGGTTCAGCTCCTGGGAGGGCAGGGTGGCACCGCATTCAGATCAGATGAGATCTCGCCGTCGCTGTTGGTGCGAGCTGCAAGGCTGTCGCCCGCATTCTCTCTCTCCTCAGGCTGGGAGGTCGAGCGGGGTGACCTTTTCGTTATCCAGATCAGATGAGGCCTCGCAATTGACCCTGCCTCTCGTTCCAACCACCTTTCTCATCGAGCCTACGGCCTCACTCCTCGTCCTTGTATTGTTTTGCTGCCGTGTGAGTCCTGCAACGCGCGTGCACCCAATGCAGCTTGAACAACAAATGACGGTGCCTGCATTGTCGTTGGCCATACTGATTTCGGCCAGCTGCTCGGGTTACTTGAAGCGAATGGGTTAGGTATGTCGCAAGGTAACTTCTTGTGGCGCAGTAGAGGGCGGAGGCGATACGGTGAAAGGGTGAGCGTTGCTCCGTATAGCTGCTAAATGACCCGTTCCATCATTAACATCCATACCAAATAAGGGCCTAATGGCATGGCATGCTTGGCGCGGAGACCAGCGACTGCGTTGTCGCACCGAAACAAACGGCATGACGGGAAGAGAGGGATGGAACAACGAGGCAGAAGAGAGCGAGGAGGAAGAGAGGATGGCGGATGGAGGAGGAGGAGGACGAGCAGGGACGAGGGAGGGGGCACGAGCCTCCCCCGTCTGTGCCCCAAGCTCGTGACTCCCCCCCTACCTTGCGGCGGCTTCTGCTGCTAGTGCACTCCTCCCCTTCCTCATGGGATCCCTCGTTAACAACACTGTGGTTACACCAGCACGTTCTCCTCCTGCTGCTTATCCCCTCCACCTCCACCTCGGCCTGGACTGGACATCCTTATTCGCGTCCCGGGCCCGAACCGAGCTCCGCACCGACCCTGCTGCTCGGGGTCTGGTTTCTGCTTGATCGGCCTCAGGGGGCACGTCAGCTGAGGACTGGCTGAGGGGGTGGGGGGAAACATAAAGCCAGAATCGTTGATGCATCGCCGATGCATCGCCGACGCATCGCCGATAGACTGGCCCTCGACAGCACATCCTCGCGTTCCTAGGTGGGTTGGGCTATCTGGCCACCATGAGCGATCAATGGGCGAGCGGGAGTCGTTGTGCCCCCCCCCGAGCCTATCACCTCTTAACATTGCCCCTGACGCCCCCACTCGTCCCGCGTCCCCCGTGTCCCCAAGGGGTGCTGCCGATCGGCAGATTGCGCGGGAAAGCGGGAAGGGAGGCAAGGCAAAGAGAGGCTAGGCCGAACGCCAAAAAGGCGGCACGGGATCTCTCCATGTCTTGGATGGTCTTGGCCAAGTTGTTCCAGGTCGGCGCGAACTGCGCAAACATTACCACCCGATACAAACAACGCGACTTGAACTGTACGGAGGGGCAACGAAAAATAACAACTCCAAACTATTGCGAATGATAACTGGTGCGCTCGCCATGCCTCGAAACTGATAACCTCGAGACATCCGTGAAATTGAAAGCTCGGATGGAACAACAACAAACATCAATGTGAGACTGCTCGCTCTGATCAGCTCGCGTGTCACTCAGCACGCATAACCCAAAGCCTCGATGTCCGCCCGCGTCGTCTTCGATACGCACCTTGGGGGTATATCCTCCCGACCTGCCACGCATCATGGGCGCAGCCTCTAAAACAGGGGAAGGGAGAGATGCGGGGAGGGACATGGGGGGGGGGAGGGAGACGCGTGGAGCACGAGAGAGAGAGGTCAGCAAGAGTGTACGGGGTCAGGAGCAGGAAGACAACCCGCAGAATCAGGCAGGCGGGTCGGGCGAAGGAGCACTGACGGGCGGGTCGGGCGGGAGGGCCCAGACGGCCAGGTCCAGCAGGCGGGTCGATGAAGCGTCAGTCCTGCATGCATCTCGTGGAAGTCGCGAGCGATAACGCGATTCCCACATGAATCGTGAGGAAGTCCAGAGCGAGCACTTGATTCTTGAGCGTCGAGGGCGCGGTGTTCCAACAAATTGCGAGGACCTCCCACGCGAGAGCGCGATTCCTGGATAACTTGTGAAGACGTTCCGCGCGAGAGCGCGATTCAAAAACAATGATTTGAAGAGTGCTCACTCTCATCTGCTCGCGTGTCACTCAACATGTATCTCCAATGTCCTCGACCGTACCCCCCCTTGGGGCGTATTTTCTTTACCTGCCACGAGTTGTTGGCGCAGCCTTCCAACAGGGGAACACAGTCATCCCGCATAGCAAGGATGAGCAATTTCCCTAAGGGTGCCCTTGCATCCTTGCTACCCCGGCCCATCCTTGGCCACTTTCGCTGGCCGCGCCCCGCTCGAAAAACTTCGAAGTGGCCTTCCAAAGCCATTCTATCATTATCGTCCATCCTGATGATACGGAACGATTGTAGAGGAAGATGGAAAGGACAGAAGAGAAGGGGACAGATCCAACACCAACAAAATAACCAGGATGGTACGAGCACAACAACATGCGGCAAAACCACACGGGCGGGTCGGGCGAGCGGGCCCAGATGGCCGGGTCGAACGGGCGGGTCGAGGAAACGTTCGCCCTGCATGTATTGCGATACGCAAACGCTTTGTGAAGAAGTCAGGAGCGAAAACGTGATTCCTGAGTGTCGAGGGCGCGGCGTCTCAATACATTACAAGGGCGTCCCACGCGGGGGCGCGCTTCTTGCATACATTGTAAACATGTTCCGCGCAAGCACACAGTTTTGAATCCATCGTGAATAACTAATCAAACGGGAGACAGTGTTGTTACAGTTCGGGGGCCAATCCGAGGCGCAACACTTCTCCCTTGTTTTGAAGATAGCCTGGCGAAGGACCCAACCAAATGCAGCTGCGAATGCCGCCGTTGTACGCACCGCATTCGGAAGAGCTGCCTCGACGGCCACGAAACGTGTGAGAGGTGTGCCGAAATGGGCGCGGGGGGGCATGCGAACGCAACCGCTGGGGCCGTCGGTGAAATCCCCAGTGGGGCCATGAAACGTGCGAGGGCGTGCCGACATGGGTGCGGTGGGCGCATGCGAACGCAACCACTGGGGCCATCGGTGGAGTTCCCTCAGTGGCCACGAAACGTGTGAGGGGTGTGCCAAAATGAACGCGGTGGGCGCATGCGAACGCAACCGCTGGGGCCGCCGGTGGAGCTCCGTTTTGGGGCCACGTAACTTGTGGTGCGCGTGTGTGTGTGTGTGTGTGTGTGTGTGTGTGTGTGTATGTGTGTGCCAGAATGTGCGCTGTGGGCGCATGCGAACGCAGCCTTTGGGGCCGTGGGTGGGGCCCCTTTCGTGGCCCCGCGAACATTGCGCGGGTGTGCCAAAATGGGCGCGGTGGGCGCATGCGAACGCTGGCATGTGGCCTTGGGGTGACGTTACCTATACGGCCACGAAACGTGTGAAGGGTCTGCCAAGATGGGTGCGGTGGGCGCATGCGAACGCAGCCGCTGCGGCCGTCGGTGGAGCTTCCTATGGGGCCACGACTCGTGTGAGAGGTGTGCAGAAATAAATGCGGTGGGCGCGTGCGAACGCAACCGCTGAGGCCCTCGGTCAAGCTCCCCATGGGGCCACGAAACATGTGCGGGGTGTGCCGCAATTTGCGCGGTGGGCGCATGCGACACTGAGGCCTTCTGTGGAGCTCCGTGTGTGGCTGAGGGGTGTGCCAAAATTAGCGCGGTAGGCGCATGCGAACGCAGCCAACGGGGCCGTCGGTGGAGCTCCTTATGTGGCCACGAAGCGCGGAAGTGGCGTGCCGAAGTGGGCGCGGTGGGCGCATGCGAACGCAGCCGCTCCCATCGTCGGTGGGGCCCCCGTACGGGGCCGCGGAGCGGGCGAGAGGTGCGCCGAAATAAATGCGGCGGGCGCGGGCGAACGCAACCGCTGTGGCCCTCGGTCAAGCTCCCTATGGGGCCGCAAAACATGCGCGGGGCATGCCACAATTGGCGCGGTGGGCGCATGCGAACGCAGCCACCGGGGCCGTCGGTGGGGCTCCATAGAAGGCCACGAAGCGCGCGAAAGGGGTGCGTCGAAATAAACGCGGCGGGCGCGCGAACGCAGCCGCTCTAGCCGTCGGTGGAGCTCCCTATGGGGCCACGAAGCGTGCGAGGCGTGCGTCGGCTTAAATGCGGTGGGCGCATGCGAACGCAATCACTTGGGCCGTCGGTGGCGCCCCCCATGGGCCGCGAAGCGTCTGTGGGGCGCGCCAAAACGGGCGCGGCGGGCGCGCGCGAACGCAGTCGCCGGGGACGTCGGTGGAGCACCCCGCGGGGCCACGAAGCGCGCGAAGTGCCGTGCCAAAGAGGGGGCGGCTGGCGCGTGCGAAAGCTTGCGCGTGGACCTTCGACGGCGCCCCCCACGGGGCCACGAACCGCGCCGGGGGCCGGGGGCCGATGGGGGGGGAGGAAGGAAGGAAGGAAGGACGCGGGGCGCTGTCTCTTCGAAAGAAGGCTCAACGCCGCAGGACGGCCGGGGACAGCGCGCGAAACCTGGAGGCGCACATCACTTGAGAAACGCCAGGCGCACGACGGGGGGCACCGTTGGACATGAGAGCCCAAGAACAACCTCAACAACGATTCCCCAATCAGAGCTTGCCTCGGTCTTGGGATCCTAGCGGATTCAAATAGCTAAGTGAGGTGGGGCGCCGATTTCGGCGGCGCGCCCGTGTGCCCGGGTGCCTGGGCGCCCGGGTGAAGTTCGCCGCCGATTTCCGCGGTGCCCAGGTGCCCGGGTGACGAGGTGCCCGGGTGCCTTACCTATAACCCTATTGCCCTAGACCCCATATAGCATATAGCCTAATATCCCCATTGCCCTATAAACCTATAGCCTTATAGCCCGATGGCCCTATAGCCCTATAACCCAATCGCTCTATAGCCCTATAGCTCAATGGCCCTATAGACTTATAGCCCAATCGCCCAATGGCCCCATAGCTCTATATATGCCTCTGGCCCTGTAGCCCTATAGCCCTTATAACCCTATGGCCCTGTAACCCCATGGCCCCATGGCCCTATAATGCGATTGGGGCATTTCTCCCGTATCACCAAACCTGTTCTGTCCTATCTGCTCGCGTGCAATTCAACGCGCGTCATCTGCCGAGGCCTCGGTGCCCGCCGTCTTCGTCTTCGACCGCATCCCCTTCGGGGTCGCGACTCCCCTGCCAGCCGCGCGCGCGGCGCGGCCCGTCGCGAGCGCGCGGCGCTGAGCGCCCGGCACGCGCCAGAGCTACTGGCCTCGCTCGGAGGCTTCGCGCGCGCGGACCCCCCCCCATCAGAGCCGCCATTTGCTGCTGCGGGAGGCAGCTGACCCTGCGGCCGAAAACGCAATGCTTAAGCACCGCAGCAGGGCCATTGGGGCGCGCGCTGGCGCCGCGAAGCGCGTCAGCGCACAGCGCTGCTCAGCGGGGCGAGCCGGGCCCGGAAGACAGCCCGGTCGCGGGGCGCCTGGCACTTTCGACTCAGCGGCTTAACCCGGCGAAATCGGCCCAGCAATTCCCGGCCTTTCTTGGCGGGGGGCACGCGTGGGCGAGCTCACTTCATTTGCCTGCCTTAGATCGAACCCAACTATTTGCGCCCCGTCAACGCCGCCGAGCGCCGCGCCCCGAACCGCCCCCGGCGCCGCGGCGGTCGCCCGCGCGGGGTCAGCGAGAAACCGCGGGCCCAGGAGGCGCCAGTCCAGCCGCGGCAAGCAAGACCTGCCTCGCGAGAGGGGTCGGGAAAGGCGCCGCCGTCCGATCGCTCATAAATGGCGGCAGCCGCCACACGGCCACGCTGCTTCTTCGCTTGCTCAGCGATCTGTCCAAGAGGCGACTGGAACTGAGGGCCCAGACCTACGCGATGATCGACCATGCTTAGCGCGAGGTTCGGCCGCTGGATCAACGGCAGGGGCGGGGCGTCAACGACGCCCCGGTGGCGGCGGGCCTCGACGCGCCCAACCTCCCGAATGAGACGCGCGCCTTCAAGGGCGAGGGGTGGGATTCGGATGCCCGTGAACTTGGCACTGGTGGCCAACTGCTGCTGCGCGCTGCTCTGAGTGACATGTGCTGCGGAAGTGCAATCAGCCCTCGGGGCGGAGGGGCGTCTGGCCGATTGGCCGCGCGGCGCAGTGCCGACGGGCCCCGCCATTGCGGGCGTCTGCGGGGGGGGGAAGCGGGGGGGGGGGCGGGCGGGGGGGGGGGCGCGCGGCGACAGGCCCTGGCTCCAAGCCAATCGCTGGCAGCGCCCCCCCTGATCAAGAAGCCATGCGCAGCGCGCCTGGCGGGGGCTTGGGGCGAAATCCATCCGACGCGAGCCCGCGCGCCTACTCGCTCGACGGGTCGACGATCTATTCAGGGCGCACATCCAGCGGGTCACCAAAGGT